GTTACCATTTAGATTTGTGGAGGGTGTTGGGTTTAGAAGATTTTGTAATGTCATGCAACCGAAATTCACACCAATCCCCTCTCGTCATACCATATCTAGAGAAGTGTTTAACATATTTAAGAATGAAAGAGATAAGTTAAAGACGGCCATAAAGGGTCGTAGAATTTGCTTTATTACGGACACTTGGACATCTATTCAGAATTTGTGTTACATGTGTTTGACTACTTATTTCATTGATGATAACTGGAAACTTCAAAAAAGAATCATAAATTTTCAACAAGTTGAAGATCACAAAGGAGAAACATTGGGTAAGAAAATTGAGTCGTGTTTGATTGAGTGGAACATTGATAGCATATTTACCTTAACAGTTGATAATGCTAGTTCTAATAATCTTACCATTCAATATTTGAAAACAATAACCAAAGATTGGAAGCGGACTATTTTGCGACATAAGTTTATTCACATGCGTTGTTGTACACATATTCTTAATCTTGTTGTGAGTGATGGGTTAAAAGAAATGGACGATTCTATTGCCAACATTAGACTTACGGTGAGATATGTGAGGTCTTCTCGTCATAGGCATGATACTTTTAGGAAGTGTGCAGCCGCACTGAAACTTGATTCAAAAGCTCTTGTATGCCTAGACGTACCAACTAGGTGGAACTCTACCTATTTAATGTTGGAGGCCGCCGAAAAGTATGAGAAGGCTTGTAATCGCTTGAAGTTTGTGGATTCCAATTTTGAACCTTATTTCAAGGATGTTGACATTGGCATAAGGAGAAGTCCTAGTGAGTTGGATTAGAAAAAATATAGATTGTTTTTGAGGTTTCTAAAATTATTTTATCTTGCAACTAAGAAATTTTCAGGGTCTCTCTTTGTTACTTCCAATGCTTTTTATAAAGAAATGTTTGTTATTGAAAGCAAAATTAACCAATTAATTTTGGCGGAGGATGATGCTTTGAGCACAATGGCAAAGACTATGAAACAAAAGTTTAGCAAGTATTGAGGGGATGGAAGTAAGATCAATTTGTTATTGTATGTTGCGGTTGTTCTTGATCCTACCAAAAAAATGACATACTTGGAGGTTTGCTTTTCAAATTTATTTCTTGGAGATACTAAGAAGGTGGAAGATATGGTAGACAAGGTTAAAGGTTGTTTGAGTCGCTTGTATAGCCATTATGTCACACTTTATCCTTCAAATGAGAAACTTCCAAGTGTGAGTGAAGTTGTGAATATGGTGGAAGATGATGATGATGATGATCCTTGTTCTTTGGTTGACTCCCAATTTAATTCCTATTTGGAGGAGCGATGCACTAATGGATCTAAGTTGGAATTGGAACAATATTTGTTTGAGGTTGAACATTTTGCAAATAATCAAACATTTGAGATTTTGGATTATTGAAAGGTAAATGCAACCAAATATAGAGTGTTATCGCAACTTACAAGGGATGTGTTGGCCATGCCTATTTTTACCGTTGTGTCGGAGTCCGCTTTTAGTATGGGGGGCGTATTCTTGACCCATTTCATAGTTCACTCTCACCTTCTATGGTTGAAGCTCTTGCATGTACTCAAAATTGGCTTCGAATCAACCTTTCAATTTCTCTTCGAAAGGCAATGGATGATGTGGAGGAACTTGAGCAATATGACTCGAGTAATATGAGAATTTATTTATCTTCATTTTTATTTGTATTGTTCATTTTCTAATGTAAGTTTTATTGATCTTCTCTTGTTGACTCTTAATTAGGTCCTTTGGAGTCATGCTCATCTTCAAGTTCAACCTATAATGTTGATGCTAATATAATTGAACTCTAATCCATTTGCTCATTGGTATATTTTTCATTACTTTATTCTTTTATACATTTTTTTTGTCAAAGGAATACTATTGAAGATTAATTTTTTTTATTTTTCAGCTTGTTTTTGTACAGGGTTCATCAACCAAATGCATGGAATTGAAATTTTTAGAACTTGGAGGTGATTCATGATGATGGAGTTTTGAGATATTGTGTTGTAAGTGTTTTTATTTTATTTGACAACAATTTTGTTTTTTATTTTTTTTTCTTGCATTTTGGATGAATGTAATGGTTAATGAAGTTTGAAGGATTTTATTTTAATTTTGGATGAATGTAATAGTTAAGCTTAGGATTTTGAATGATTTTATTTTAATTTTGTATTATTGGATAGTAGTAGTAGTAGATGAAGAATGTTGAGAAAGTAGTTGAAGAATGAGATTGATGATTTACCTTAGGATTGTAAATGATTTCACTTTAATTGTATTGTTGGGTAGTAGATTAATTTTGAACGCTTTTAGGATTTTGAATGATTTTGAATGATTTTAGGATTTTAAATGATTTGTTTGTGTTAGGAATTGATTTTGAAGCATTTTAAAAAATTGATTTTGAATTTTTTTCATTGCAAAAATGTTAGTGTAGGGTCTCTTTGTTTTAGGTACTTTCATTTAATACATCGATATTCAATTTTTATTTGTAAACTCATCAGGAAAATTGTTGTCAAATAATCAAAAATATATAAAATGAATCTGATGCCTAAATTCGATGGGGAAAAAAAATTCAAAAATTAATTTTTAAAGAAAAAAATGTAAACCGCAAACCGCCCGCAACCGCCCGCACATCCGCAAACCCTATCCGCATAAACTGCAAACCGCACTGCGGGCGGTTGCGGGTTGACTTTTTCCCAAACCTGCGGGCGGATCAAAATCGAACCGCAAACCGCACAAAACCGATCCGCGAACACCCCTAACATGCATAGAGGAACCATTAGCGGTAGCAATACTGATAGGAGAAGGAGGGGAGACAATTACTAAGGAGAGATGCAACAGAGGTCATATGATGTGAATAACTAGAATAAAAAATTCACGAAGTGTGGATATTATCTGAAGAGGATGAACCAGACAAACCTAACTGAGTGGTAGTCATAGCGGAAGCCTGGGACGAAAGAGTTGAACTATAGACTGCATATTGAAAGATGGACCATTATCAGAAATTGGTGTAGAAAAGGCGGCAGATGAGCGAGATCCCGAAGATGTCGGCTTAGAGGATGGTGGACCAAGTGAATGGCCCTTGGGCTGCACCTGCTTAGGACAAGCATGTTTCCAATGGCCTTTCTGATGACAGAAGCAGCACTCATCCATAGAAACCCGAGGCTTAGGCTTACCACTAACTTGAAATAAATGAGATGGTGGGGTTGGCAAGAGCGGAGGAGTGGCAAAAATTAACTGGGAATGAGGAGCACCATGAGCCACCTTGAACTGAGTTTCTTCCGCAATAAGCTCACGAACAGCACCATCGATAGAAGGTAAGGGGGACCGATGAAGAATAGGGCCCCAAAGTGGCTCAAATTGATCATGAAGGGCCATAAAAAACTAAACAAGACGTTGCTTCTCCTGATACTTGGTATAACTGTCAAGTAATTGCAAATCTGATGGTTCCATTAGAGCAAGCTGATCCCAATAAGAAGTCATCTCATTGTAAAATTCCTGAATGGACTTATCTTTCTGACTAGCACTGCGAATAGACATCTCAAGTTCATACTGTTTTGCAAAGTTAGACTCAAGGTACATAGTTTTCAAATAGTCCCAAACTTGTTTAGAAGTAGAATACTTGGAGAACTTCATACCAATGGTGGTTTGAACTGAATTATGAAACCAAGTAAGAATTTGTGCATTTTCCTTATCTCATTTAGCAACATCAGCCTCAGTTTCTTTAGATTCCATAGGTCGAGTAGTCACACCAATAACGTAGTTACACATGCCTTTACCCGTGATAAATTTTTTCATTACATGAGACCAATAAGAATAATTTGTACCATTCAACTTAGTGGTGATAGCTTGCAATTTATCATCAGCCATATTGCTATAACCAAACAACCCAGTGCAAATAAAAGAGAATAGTACCAAACAGAGAGAAGAGAGTACCAATCCCAGCGACTGAGAACCATGAACGACCAGAGAAAGATCAAAGCAAAGTCAGGCAGTCGCAATTGACGAGAGAACCATGAATGTCATCGAAGACTTGGAGCCAAAATTGACGAGAGAACCACGAATGACAATCATGAAGAAGAACAGTTGAGGCAATTGTGAGCCAAGGCCAGGTAGAGGCAGTCGCGAGAGAACTGTTGGTCGCTAGAAGCCTTCAGTCGAACCAGACAACCGCAGGGAAGGAGTTGACTCAGGGGCTTCTAGAGGTTTGACTTAGAACCTGCTTTGATATCTTGATAACAAAGAACATATATTTTGTGTATTTCAAATGAATCTCTGATTTCAAATATATATAACCTAAATGAAATAAACCCTAATAATCTAATCGACGAAACTACCCTAAATGACTAATATAAAATACTATAAAATACATAATGTTCACAGTATTATGGATATGTTACTCTTTAATTATCTTCTACTGAGTAAAAAAAAACCAACCGTGGACTTGTTATCAGTATCTACATTCCAATTAATTTAATCTAAACAAACTATTGATTCATCCCTTTAGAGATAAGAGTTCCAGATGGTGAATTAACTTTGATGCATCTGAATAATGACGACAAAGTGCTTTGTAATTTGTTCCTACGATTTCCATGTTTCTGTTGTTGTACCCTGAAGATGTTACCATCAAAGTCACATTGTGAGCAAAATATTTTTCCTTGTAAAACTCTTGGATGACTGGTTGCCTCTTTCTTTATTGTAGGGTTGGTGGCTTTTGAGTAACAAGGTGGAGCTAACAACAGCTGCTGTTATTGCAAATGGCATTGTTTTTCTGACTGGGTAAATGTCTTTCAGCATACTCAAGATGATTCTGATTAAGTTCTTTTTCTTTTTCTCTTTGCAATTTGGATAACTTTATTTGTTAGGTTTTCCTTTTCTAATTTTCTTTATCTTCTCTTCTTCCTTTCTCATTCATGACCTAAAATGGCATTTTATTTATTTGTTGGTACTGGGAAGGTATCGGGTTTTTAGAGGTGCTAACAAGCAGAAGCATGTATTCAAAAAGAACCCTAAAGCGCCAATATGGGGTAGGCCTCCAAAAGTTATAGGGGGAAAGTTGCTGGCTTCTGGTTATTGGTAGGTTTCCGTCTGATCATATTCTTCTAATTAATTTTTTTTTGTTGGAAAAAAATGAAAGAAATGAAACTAAATGAATAAACCGAAGACTCTTTTCATGACAGTGATGCAATTATGATTTCCTATTGATTGTTATTTGGCCAAAGCAACACTAAGGTGGTAACTTTAAGTGCCTCAACCTTGTGTCAGAATGAGGGATTCTGGGGCTCAATTCCTATTGTCTGTTGAAGTGCATAAACAGAAGAGGTAGTTTCTTTAGGCCTCAACAAAATTTGGAGTTTGAAATAATGTGAACTAATAGGTGTAACGTTGAATCAACTCTGATCGTCACTCAAAAAAGTAGTACTTCCACCGATATTTAGAAGCTGTAGTAGGCAAACAGGCCATATAAAGGTTTAGAATTCCAAAGTCGGGAATTCTGTGGTGACCAAAGAAGGAACTAATAGGTGTGACATTAAATTGTGAACTACAATCTAAACCTTTGTAAGCGACAATTTGCAGTTATGACAAAATATACTTTGGGGAGCAGTCTGTAGTTCTATTCTGTGGAATGTAGCCTGTTGTAGTGGCTTGTCAAATTTACTACAGATGAAAATTTTTACTACAGATGAAAATTTTAGCTGTGTAGCTTATTTATAATTTTTTATTTTTTTTATTTTTTATTTCATTTGCAACTAACTGTTCCTGGAAAGGCAGCGGCATCATGGTATGTGGTTTGGTCCAAGTGAATGTTGCCTTCAGTGGATTGAATGTTTTACTTTTGACGGTATCAACATTCCATGATCAATGAATCATGGCTTGCAAAGTACATCAATTTTGTACCTATCTTCAATGTTCAAGACGGGTCATCTCATTCAACCCTTCTCTCTCTGTAGGGGAATTGCAAGGCACTGTAATTACCTTGGCGATTTACTGGTGGCTTCTTCCTTCAGTTTACCCTGTGGGATAAGGTAAAGTTCTCAATCATACTTTATTTTTGGTGGTTATATAATTCAATATAGCAAAAATCAAAAAATGTCAATGAGAAGTCATTCATGTTTGCAGTTCCCCAGTTCCGTACTTCTATCCAGTTTATCTTCTTATTCTGCTAATATGGAGAGAGAGAAGAGATGAAGCTCGGTGCGCAGAGAAGTATAGAGAAGTGTGGGCAGAGTACTGCAAACTCGTTCCATGGAGGATATTACCATATGTTTATTAACCGGCTCATTGACTAGATGTAATCCCGGGTTGTTGCCAAAATTGGTCTTGTTGGCATGTAGTACTGTGATGCGGAGAGAGAACATATATGGTCCAAATGAGGATTGTTGCTACCATAAGAATTGTGCATTTTGGAAGAACTTTGCTATTGTTGTTTGTACTTTGTGTATATTCTTTTGAGTTTTTGATGGATTTTGTCAAATTCTAGAAAACCAATTTTGTGGGTTTTCAGTAAATTGAGGGTTTTATCTATTGAGGTTTTCATCAAAAAAAGATACGGTATAGGGAAGGTCTGATGTTTTCATTAGTTGCATGAATTTTGTGGTAAGCAAAGGGAAATTGGGGTCATCTAAATGGGAAATTATTAGGTACTCTTGGAATATTATATCACATTGTCTATGTATCAGCTAATGAAAAATTCTAATACATACTAAGTGAGCGTTTTTTGTATTTTAACTACCTAATAAAAGTGAGTCAACATATTTTATTAGTTAATCTTTTTATCAAGCTATTAGTTTGGAGCACTACATATATAATATTATATATTTTGTTTTTGAATAATTATCTCGTAAATGTGCTGGAAATATATAGCTCCTTTGGTCGTGGTTATGAATGCATGAGGAAATGGAGTTGTAAGTCATTTAGATAATGTTTGATTTACTAAAATAATTCTAGACAGAAAAATTAAAAAATAAATATTTTAATGAAATAATTATTTTATTACAGTTTCAATACTAAATATTAATAAATATAGCAGCAAATATACTGACTAAAAGACGATAAATAAAAATTCCACCGCTTGAACCGAACAGTGGAGGCAACAAACAGTCATATTCTTTGTCAAATTCTTTTAACAAAACGAAACATGAGAAGAAAACATAATCATTCTAGTATTATTAATATGAGGTAGATGAACTCATTAAAAAAAACAAAAGAATTGTCAAAATGAAGCTGAAGATGGTAATTACATAGTTGGTGTAAATATGTGGGGTTTGCTCGGTAGTTGTGAAACCTTTTCAGTGCTTGTAAGTTGTAATTGATTCATTCATTACTAAAACGATAATATTGCATTTGCACACACAAAATGAATAAAAGGAGGTGGCGGTGATGATGATGATAATATATTTAGGAGTGGTTTAGAAGGATATAAATAAGTATATTTTTTTATTTTTTATGAAATATAGGTTGGTATGGGTTGAATTTGAAGTGATGCGATAAAGATGTGATATGACTTAAATAAGATTATGACTTTTTAATTTTTTTAAATTATGACAAATAAGGCCTTAATTCTTGGTTATCCATATAAGTTTCTTTAGATTGGCTTGGGATGTGAGTTGCCCTTTTAATTTTTTTGATTCTTTAACTATTTTAACTCGGGATTAAAAAGTTTAATTTGAGATAGTCTTTTTAATTTTTTTTTTATTTTTGTGAGAGAAAAAATAAGATAATTATAATTTAAATATGATATTTTATTTTATTAATTTTTTAATTATTTTATGTTTTTATAACTAAAATAATTAAAAAATTAAGATTGCGTTTGGTAGAATTTTGTAAATATGATTTGAGAATATGAGTTGTATTTTGAGTTTGTGAGTTTTGAAATTATGATTTGAGTATAGAAAATTTGTTTGGTGAATGAATTTTGAAAAAAGTTTTTGAATTGAGTGATTTGACATAATTTTTATATAAAAATTTACAACTCATAACCAAACACAACCCAAAATTCTATTCAAAACTCATAAAAAATTAAAAAAAATTGAAAATATTTTTTATTTAACATATAAAAATAACAAGTATAAAAAAAAAAAAAAAAATTCAAGAATACTGTTCCAGTCAACCGACTAAACGTGCAGGGGGACGTTCGAGAGACATCCGGGTACACGATTTTTCAAACGTGGGTGTAAAAATATGTTTTAAAAACCATAAACAAATGTGAAGTTAGAATGTGTGAACAGAAAATTATTTCCAAAATCGTTCAAAAAAGAGCCTAAATTTTTTTGGCTTCAATCAATGCTTTGCTTGCCTTGCCTCTTATCAATGCAGGAAAAAGAGGAAGGACGACAGGCATGCTCCACTCAGTGAGAGAGAGAAAAGAAAAAAAGAAAAAGAAAAGAGAGAGAGAGAGAGAGGGCTGCCCCTGAATGCTTTTGAATGAGGAAGTGGGTCCCATTTTAGTGGTAGGTCTGAATTGAATGAATCTTGATGCTTTGCGTGTAGCTTAAGTGCCCTAAAGTCCACCGCTATCATTTTCTCACCGACTTTTATTATAATGCTCATTGCATTTTTAGGCCTGGTTTGGATCCTCAAAATAATTTAAAAAGTTAAAAAATTATTTAAAAAATTAAAAAATTATTATTATTTATCAAAAAAATATATAAAAAAATTAATTTTACACAAAATTATTACAAACTAAACTGACGTCCCACAGGCATGAGCTGACTTTTTGAGAAAAATTGCACAGGCGGGTTGCACAAATAACACGATGTTGTTCGGCCCGTGGGGGTTCATCATGGGTCTCGTTTCAATAATTTGAACCGTCAATATGTTCAACTCGTCGAATACTATATGTTTGAAAAAAATCATGTTGATCGGATATCGCTAACTATATGATCAAATCAATTTTGTATAAAAAAATGGATGGTGTTATAGTTAACAGTTGAAAAAAAATTAATCCGATCAAATAGCTATCGATATCCGATCAATGTGATTTTTTACAAGCATATAATACTTAACGAGTTCTACACATTGAACGATTCTGATTAGCAAACCGGGACCCGTGGTGGGCCAAACAACACCGTCCATTCAATGCCCGAAAAGGAGGGAATCATCTCTTAGCCTATACACTGCACGCTGTCCCTTACCTCATCCCACCGTATAACCTATTTTATTCCAATTTTCCTTCATACACTAATTTATACAAT